GCACAAATGAGCTCTCAATGACCTAGAGAAGGAACCCATCGCTAGCTAGCTTCTTACGGACAACTAGACACACTTATATATATGCTCAAGACTTTTGAGCTAGAGAATACTCTACAACCGACTAAGAAATACCCTGTATAATTGCTTCTTGAGCTGATAAAAGCGAGAATAGAAGGTCTTCGGGGAGATGAGAGGACGAATAAAGACAGATGATTCATGAGAGTTAACGCAGAGATAAATGAATTCAAATGAGAGAATAGAGCTCAGATCTTAAAGGTGAATATAAAAGATGGGTGAAAAGAAATGAAAGAAGTGATTATAGTAGATGACAGGTAATACTGGGGCAAATGGGTAGTCAAAGAGAGGAATGTACAAATGCAGTTAAAATCACTGAATGTGCAATGGCGCCTAGTTTCTACTGTTCCCTGAGCTTCGTCCTCAAATCTTTCGTCTCCTGCTGCTCCATCGTAGTACTTGGTAACCCTAGGCGCCATTAGGCACATGAACCAGCCATTTCGAGTCACGCGCGACCCCCATAAATGGAATTTCATATTAAAATTGTCGCTCACGTGCTAAGGACACTTCCGCTTCAGATGACGACCAATAAATACCCTTTCTCATATAATAAATATGTATATAATATAAGATCTACTACCCCATTTATGAGCTTAGACCATTCTTCATCTGATATTTTGAAACAAAATCTTGACAAACAATAGCAGAAATAGTAGCATTACATGGTAATACAGGTGATTTAGCTTAGGAATATACTCTGCTATACATATGGAGGATCCACTTAATATGCTTAGCTGTACTACTCTCTGAAAGTATTACAGGGACTATATGGCGCTGCGTGTTGCTTGGCCAATGTCAGGACTGGTCGAAGCCTGCCCCAGGGCCTGCGTTTGCTTCTAGCTTACATAAATGAGTTGCTTTAGAATTGTTAAGTGACCAATTAAAACAGGTTTCAGGTTTTTCACTATGTGTTTCTTTGTTTTTCTCAGTACGTAAGTTCCACTAATTGCAATAACAGTGCTTAAATTTGTATTCCTAATTTCCGTGCCAGTTGCAAAAATCTTGATTTGATGTTTCGATTGCTGCACTCAATGATTGACGAGTTGTTCAGTTGTTATCTTCTCCACTCTTCAACTCATTGAATTTTCACTCTAATAGACCTTTATACAACACATTTGACATTTTCTTTGAGACTCCACCCAATTTATTTCCCATTCAATTCCTCGTTCAAAGACTTCGAGCAGCTCAGATTTTAAGCTCGTATTTTTTCCATAGACCCCTCTTTGCTAATCTCTCGCTCTCTCTCACGCTCTTTCGTTATCTAACTCAATTCCTGACGGCATTCACAAAGTCTTGAAAACTGAGTTTTCCATCGTTATCAGCATCGACTTCCTTCATCATTTCATTGAACTCCTCTTCGGAGCACCGTTCGCCCAGATTGTGCATAACATTCCGCATTTCGTTGGCCGCTATGAAGCCATCGTCGTCGCGATCGAACAGTTTGAATATAACCCTTAGATTCTCGATTTTGGTCAAGCCCTCCATGCGCTTGGTGATCATCATTACGAATTCCATAAACTCTATTTCGCCATCGCCATCCATGTCGATCTCATCGATCAGATCGTAGAGCTCCGCTTCGGTTGGGCAATAGCCCAACGTACGCATTGCGAGACCCATTTCCTTTCCCTTGATTTTCCCAGTATTATTCGGATCGAACGCTCCAAATGCGTCGCGCACCTCATTCATTTGATCTTCGTTCAATGCAAAAGCTGGGGCCTCCATTTTCTGATTTTATTTCCAAGTATTTTTGTAACTAGTATGTAATGTATATATGTATGTGAGATTTTGTTTCTGTTTAAAATTGAGTTGTGGCTGTTGAACGAATTGATTTAAATTTGTTTACAGAAAGCATACTAGATTAATTACATGAATATGAAACAGACAAACATGCCTCTTTGAATATACGGGGCAACTGCGACTGGTATAGTTATCTTATATAGATTATATATACCGTATGACAAGAATCAGATCATTTCCGAAGAGATAAGGATTCCAAAATATCATTTTATTACTCTGTACACTGCATTTATAATTAAGACTTATCTCTAGGATCGATTTCTCAATATTCAAACTATGTTTGGCATCAATGCGGTAAGCCACGGATAATACAAATATTGAGTAAGCGACCCTAGAACGAGTTCTGATGTCCATATGGTGATCTACTTATATACATCCAATCACCTTTCGCTGGTTAACATCGAATATCAAGACACCGTCTTGGTCGGCGTCCCCCAATCGTATAATTTCTATTGAGTCAGCGACCCCATAACGAATTCTTATGTCCATATCATCTTTCGCTGGTTAATATACCGACGAACTCTTCGAATATCAAGACACCGTCTTGGTCGACGTCTCCCGATCGTATGATTTCTTCGAGCTCTTCGTCGCTCGGCTGAATGCCAATCGATCCAAAGAGCTTACGCAAATCATTTGTGGAAATACATCCATTTCTATCCTTGTCGATCAACGAGAAGGCCATCTTAAGATCGTCGGGCCGATCAGTGTCCGATAATTTCCGCAAAAGTGTATTGACAAACTCCTCAATGTCCAGCGATCCAGTGCCATTCGTATCGGACTCATTGATCATATCCTGTAGCTCCCCATCGCTGACGTTGCCACCCAAGGCTCGCATCACAATGCCCAGCTCCCTAAACGAGAATTCTCCGTCTCCCTCAACGTCGATGCGATTGAAGAGCTCTTGGAATATGGCCAATTCTTTTTCTGTTAAGTCCTCCATTTTCCTTGAGTTTAGCCAGGTGGTTCTTTTCTTGGATTTATTATAAGTATTTATTGATATTTAAATTCTTTAATAAAGATTCGTTATTAAATAATTAGTTTTTTATATTAAGTTCAGTTTTATTGTTTTATGGTTTTATTATAT